AGAATAATCGCTCCGAAGCGTGTTAGTAACGTTTAACATTGTACTTTATTTTCTTTTTTAGGAAATGACCGCTTCGTTGTGGCTTCGTATAATTTTTTTTTTTGTTCAATAACACTTGAAGTGTTAGTTCGTCGATCTTTGTAGAGTTATTAAATTTTTTTCTTACATATTTGTTTGCATATTAACAATTGCATTTAGCAAGCTACGACATACTGATGTATTCACTAATAGGTACATATTAGTACAGTTATGAATATATATTCAGTAGCTTTTAACTTTTAGACGTCTAATACAATTATTTATACGTGGTGAAACACATGTTATATCAACTTTAACTTAACCATTTCGTAATAAAATCCACTAACTCTCGACCGAACTTTTTTCTCCCCGACGGCATTTGAAGTCAAATACGAAAGATTAATTAAATAATATTCAATAAACGTTGTTTGATTAACAAAGGCTTAATCTTCGGCGGCATCTAACATAAATACAAGGCCACTCGTCGAGCCATGTTTTCAATCAGCATCATTCATTATTCACTCACTTCCCTCTACATTTGCCGAAGTATTCACCAGTTTTGTTTTGTTTAACTTTCATATTTCAAAACTCTTAGAGGCAAAGTCGTGCGATACAATTGTAATAATTGAATTGGTTAAAAGTTCTTTGTTGGCGTATTTGGAAAGGCGAAAGTTGATTGCTTTGTGTTCATTAGAAAAAGTTTTTGTTTCTAACACTGTCTCTGTTAGGTCTTGACAGGGTATTTGATGATGACTACAGTCAGTCAGTTGTATAACTGACAGTTTGCGTTAGACTTGTTATAAGTACATTATGTTTTACATACTTCTTTTTAAGAAGTAAATCTTCTAAATTCTCTTATATCTGAAAATGAGATTATTGTATGGAAGTACATACTTCCATACAAGTATAGGGTTCTTCAAAAAAAGGTGTATTAAGATTTGTTTAGGTTGTACAACGCATGATATCCCTAGCGTGATATAGGTGTCAGTGACCGTTTACCATCAGATGGCCTGAATGCTTGTTTTTTACCTTTACTATATAAAAAAATATATTTAACTTTGAATAGTTTACTAAACAGTGTGAAAATTATAATATTTCAATTGTAGCTATCCTATTCAGATCAGATTATCCTATTTCTGATATTACAGGATATCTAATTTGGAGAATTAAATTGTGATATTATATAATGATTGGACAGGAAGTTATTGTATGTGAGTTAGTAAATATTCTACTTTTACGTTGTCAGAGAATACGTTTAAAAAATTCAATTAATAGTTATTACTTATAAAAAAAAGTGTTGCGTAATTATCACGTTGTTTGCTAGTCAGTGTTGAAGAGAGAGAGGATTATTTTATTAAATAAAAAAATATTATTTTTAATTCTATCAAAAAATTCCATTACACCAATATCGAATTTAAGTGCACTTGGTAATTTGCTAGTCGGTTTTATTGACGTGAATCTGCTCCCACTTAAGGAATTTAGCGCGTGACGCATTAAGCTCAGTGCACGAGTGAGTCTATATATTTTTTGTTATCATTAGTTGACGTGGAATAACACTCTTGAGTAGTGCTTCCAAAAAAAAAATTGTGTGAAAAATTACGTTGATTACATGTAATAACGGGCGGCCGGGGCCGTTTGATGGCCCCTGCCACAGATTGGCATCATTAGCTACAATGATACTGACCTAAAAGAGTAATTTTGTTTTCTTTGCTACTCTTTGTTTGATGTTCTGCTTTCTAAAGTGCTGCGCATTGTTTATGTTCGACAGCACGCTTTTGTGCACTTTTCTGTTAAAAATTATAAGATTCATGTATTACGTAAGTGCTACCATCTTTTGAGAATGGAAGTGAGTAGTTTTTTCTTCTTTTTATTTAAATTAATTTGTTAAAAAGAAATTTAATAATCGAATTGATATTTTAGATTTGATTGGTTATATCAACTTGTACTGGCAATGTGTTATGATGAGTTGTGTAATTTTAGTTATTGAAGTAATCTATAATTAATTCTTTTCACCTACCTGGAATTGCTGTATTAATCATCAATTTCCAACCGTTTTACCTCTAAACGAGACATCTTCAGACAAATTAATACTACTTGGAATTGATATTAGCATGCAAGTATGTTATAACATAACAGTTATATACGGGTAATTACTGTTACCCGTAATTAACTAGTATAATTCCTATATTAATACAGTTGTACAAAATTTTTAAGTTAGGACAATATATTCATAAAATCTAAAATGAACAAAATTTCTTAATCATATACTTTTTAATTAACATACTTAATAGAAGTACAGAATTAGAAATTACATACTCTGTTAAGAACACAAATATACGTTTGAACAACTGGCAAGCGATTCTTATTATAATATTTATAAACACAATTTTATAAGAAAAATACAAGTTCGAAATATACAGCAATTTAATTAATGAGCAACTTGGGTAAAGAAAAATTACCAGTAATTTTGGAGGCGATATTAATATCCGGTGAGGAAATTATTTAATAATAATAACGTTATCACAAAAAAAAACAAGCAGAACGAGCCGATTTTGCTTGTACAATCTTATTCATAACGGTAATAGAATAAATTTATTTATAAAGCTTTATTTGTTCATTAGTTTTAAAAAACATCACAAAGAATACTTATTAAAAAAAAATTAGGCATTCCCAGTAATTTCTTGGCTAGCGGTTTCTCATGTAATGATTTTTAATATTTTTTTTTTCCATGGCGATATTAATACCAGTGAGGAAATTATATTAATAATAATAACGTTATACACACACCGCAAAAAACAAAAATATTGCTCTTTTTATTTTATATTTATTTTAATTATTAGAACTCTCAAATGGGTTAAAGCTGAAAATCGTGTTTTGCTGAACAATGTTAAAATGTTATTCATCAACGGTAATACAATTTTATAAATTTATTTATATTCTTATGTACATGTTGTGTGTGATTAGTAACAAACAAATAAACGATATATCTATCTATCTATTAAAAATCAACTTATATTCTTACACTTTTTGTATATAAGATTTTTTTTTTAATCTCCTTTCTTAGAATAGTCGATGTTACTTATAATGAAACTTTCATATTGGTTAAAGGTTATTGAATTATAGGCTTTTATTTTAGTTGATCAAAATCATTCTTAACTTAACAATCCGTTAATGTTCAAAGGAACATTAACAGATTTTTAACATCCAGTGCTAGTAACTACTAGATATGTCTACTACATGCATGGATCCCTTATTATTTAAAATTAGAAATCTTATTAAAGGAAAATATTAGTCTACGATTAGGTACAAAGGCCAGGTATTTTGTCATGAGGTTTTATTTTAAATTTACCTTCTCTACCAACATACTGAGCATGAAAAGCAGTAACGACACGTTTGATTCTTCGTCACCATTGAGTCCTGATGTCCAGTGATTTTATTGTCATATCATTCGTTCTTAATTTATCACCACACCATTTAGTCTCAATATCTAGTAATTTCATTGTCATGTTATTCGAATTAGAATACAACGTATAAGCAAGATAATTAGCAAGATAGACAATTTTTTTACTATAACACGATATCTGATTACTCCGTTTCGAGCGAACACAGAGACGACATGGTCCATGAAAACAATTAATCGAAAAGAGAATGTTCTACTCCCAATGGTTAGTCGAACTATGCCAGATTACTGGATTTTAAAGGATGAAAAAAACATGTCACGGGAGAGATCATTCTATATTGTTACGGTACGGTTCACGTAAGAGTTAGTAAACTTTTTTGTACATAAGTGCGAGCGGTCTACTGTTTATGGATGCAGTCGTATGCCCACATTCGTACTGCAGAATCGAAAAGGAGAAAGTGGGATAAGGGAATGGAGTTCTTTTGAGTACTCCCTATGGAGTAATACTTAAAGCTTCTCTCTTCTAAAAACGAATTTTGTAAACAGAGTAAACCAGAGTAAACCAGAGTAGCATACAATCTGCTTAGAGAAACAGATGACCTACGTAGACGTCTTCGTAAACTTTGTACAAATCTTCAAAAACCATTTCGGCAAAGGCACTATTACAGATAAATAATAACACTGCAAATATTCAACTTGCTGTTGCTTTAATCAAATGTCACTCAACTCAAAAACCTTTGGCATTTGAGCCACTGTGCCGTCATTGGCATATCTGGCAATTAAAGCGGTTGAAACCAAACGGCACCCAGATGCCTGTCTCTTTTATCAAATACATTAAACTGGTTACTCGATCCGAACATTTATTCCTATCGTCTTTTTTTTTTCATTCGGGCATAAAACCCTCTCGAGTGCGATAACGAGTAATGTATTGGAGCCCCGTCGAATAATTAAACAGACCTTTTTGTAAGTTCGAATTAAAGAGCTGAATTAATAAAACATCTATAGTATGAATCATAGATATTGGATGACAGCTGTATGCTAGATTTTTATGTTGGTGAAACGTGACTTTAGAATTAACAAGTGCTAGAAGTAAGATCAGTAACGGCAAAGGTTTTGATAGTATATAGCTTCTATATTTGTTGTTACAAAATCTGTAATGGAAAAAGGTTTTCTTTTTATTTGTATGTTTTTTTTTTATACAACTTAGAATGGCAAACAAGCTGACGGCCCACCTGATGGAAAGTGGTAACCGTCGCCTATAGACATGAGCAGTACCATGCATATAACAGAGTTACAGTGTCACCGGTTATACTCTTCGTGCGTTGCCAAAATCAGTCGAGCAATTCAGAGTAAACGTTGAAGTAACGATTGAGACATATTTATAGATGTATCTCATGTATTTGATAGTATAACAAGAAACGAATAAATACCAACATAAGGACAAGACACTTAAACTAAAAATAACATCTATCACGCAACAATGTTTGTACATGTACCAACTTTATTTATAATTGAAACTTGTAAATATCTACACAATTATAATAAAATAGATTTGACTGACGTTTTGTATGTTTGTTCGCAGTTTGCGGCGCCGCGACCCGGTGGGGAGTCATCGTGTTTGCAAGGCCCCGACTGTTTTATGGTGAGTGTTCGAATATTCTTATAACGCTAAAAGAAATTCAAGAAACATTTTGTCTCTTACTATTTTCTTATAACTGAAAAGGATGAAACTATTGTTCGTTGTTGGCATTAACTATGAGATAGTACAAAAATTATTTTAGGCCAATGACCTAATAATCTGGAATGAAAAATCTAATCAGTAATACGCATGATTAATGTAATCAATTATATAAAAAGTACATGAAATTTGTTAGCATTTGAACATGTTAATGAAAGTAAAAGAGGGATTCAGTATAAGTCTGATTCTCTGTCAATATACGAGGATAATTATATATTTCAACGGAAAAAGACATGACTTAATTCTGTAATTACCTAAATAAAAATAGAAACAATGACTATACAAAGAGATGTACTTAGCAAGTAATTATAGACTTAGTAGATATAGACCTAAATAAATATGCAGGATATTGTATTGTTCAATTTTATCGATCAAATAATGTTATTTTCATAATAGAAAATCATGTATTATTAAAACTTAAAATTAGTGAGCAGTGCAAAATAGAATCAATTTCAAGTCATTGAACTTGATTTTCTTTAAGATTTTCTACGAACAATTATTTGTGAATTTACTATTTACGTTCAAGGGATGAGCAAAACATGCTACGGTTTATGACAGAAGGTAAATACTTGCCCATAAATTTAAATGTTCCGAGTTACTATATGTTTTAACTTCCATAATCTTTAAACCGTCAACTTTGAAACAAAACTTTCTGTCGTTACGAAAGGAATATAAGACGAGAGATAAATAACGGCATGAGAATACAGCTCCATCTTTATTACAGATTGTAAATCAAGGTAGAGAAAGTTGTAATTATTGTAACAAAGGAGATTATAATTTTCCACCATAATTTTAAACCAGTGATAAAATTGTAAAACGTGAAACTTCCAACAAACTTACCTAAATAAAAGAAATAGTAACAAAAAATTTGAAAGCTCGTAACGGTATAAGCAGTAAAATAAACAAAATATCTTCAAAAGCGAGGATCGAGACTACGAGACGTTTTGTCAATACTTGGTAATTAATAACTCAGCTCTGCTCCGGTTCTTATAATTATTAAAGCTTACTGACTCGAGAACGGGCGTCAAGTTAACGTCAACTCCAACTAATGAGTATTTCCAATGACAAATGCTGCATTTGAGTCGCCTCAGTACCAAAATTCAGCTAGAAGTGCCTCATAACTCATTGTTGGTAATTGAGATCGGCGAAATGAAACTGATAAATCTGTTTTAAAGATTATCTGTAATGTCTGCTGTTTTAAGTTCCCTTGTTCCTTCAGATTTATTAAAACTTTTAATTGGTATATCAATATTATGTGCAATTTATTATATGAATTTACTATCATAGTTACGATTTTATGTGCAACAAATTTATTGTATTTTTAATGTGATCATTTTTTATTTTTAATTGCCTCCTACAGTATTATTTAGTCTATTACAATTTTTTTAGTTATTACATTGAGAAAATTTATGGTTATTGCGTGTAATATCAACTTAATAACACAAAAGCTAAAACTTCCTAGACAAATAATTCTAATAAAAATGCTAATATCAAACATTATATACATTGGTTTTGAGAACATATTGAATTGTTAATAAGTTGGTATTCCACAAACTTTTACAATTACGACGAAAGTACGGTGAATGGTCTCAATTTGAATTAGATCGCCTACTTAAGAGTTTCAAAAGGAAAGTTAGGAAATATCTGTAAGCGTAACAAGTCCGTGTCGTTTCTAGATGTGTCCTCATTCTGTGGAGTTATTATAACGAGCTCGTCCCAATTCCTAAAGTAATGACAAACGATTGTATCTACCAAGTCGCCACCCGACCACCCGATAACTTTGACTAATTTGACGAAAAAAAAGACTCGTTACGTTTGAAGTCACTGCCTGTTCTTTGAGTGTGAAGTTTTGAATTTGTTACCGTCAGTGTACTGCCCATTTGTACTTAATGACCCTCAACAATAAATCATGAGCAGCTATGCTTGTGACAAACTCATGAAATGCTCGTCTAAATTTTATGGATCTTTGATAATGTCGTTTTGTTTCAGTGTTGGGAAAATTGTGAGCTGCTACAATCCAACTATCAAGTTTGGGGCGCAGTTTGTGACGAAAAAGATATTTGTGTAAGTAAATTAAATTTTTGCTGTACTTATTTTCACTTTTGCCATTTATTTTATGTTTTTTAGATCATTACGTTTAATTAGAAAACTTATAATATTTTTTTTTGTGCAGTTCCCCGGCTGTAAGGTTGCGTGTGAATTCCACATGGAAGCAGCCAGAGCGGCACAAACGCAACCTGTCATCCACACCAAAGGTGAAGGTGTGATGCGAGTCAGCGGAGCACTAGCTCGTTGGCCACCACCTGCACCCCGTGCCGCATCTCGGCCAGCTCCTCTAGTATACGTCGTGATGCGCCGGGCAGCAGAAGGTCCATGGCGTCAAATTATACAAACTCAAGCTCTGGCAACAAGAGTACCTTCCAATAATGAAGGCGCTCTCCTGAGAGTTTTAGTGGTTGATCCTCAAGGCCTTGTTACAATCTATAGCCCAGATGAGACTTGGGTGGCTCACGATACAAATACATCGAACCATGATGAACATAAATGGACTTTGAAAGAGATTTCTCTGATTCACCAAAAAGTTCTTGTCATTGGAGAAATTGCTTGGGAACCTAGAATAGCGAGAGGTGTCTATCTAGTAACATGGGAAGTGGATGGTGGAGGTTTGAAAGGAAATCTTTTCACAGATTCGACTCGTGTTACATTGTCTCTATGGCCTGATACAGTATACCATATACAAGTAGAGTTAGTTTCTCGTACGCCTGGTGTGGATAACGAAAGATCTGAAACTATGACAATTGACACAAGTCGTGCTCAAAGGGTTTCAACCGAAAGTGTTCAAGATGTTCAAGTTAGTGAAGGTGATCGTCTCATGTCAGTATTGGTTAGTTCCATGAGAGGAGAAAGGGTTCCGGAACGGGCTCCTGATTCAGAGTTAGTATTAGGTTGCTTGTCAGCTATGATTGCCTTTGGACTAGCAGTACTAGCTGCAATTGTTTGGAGGCGAAGGAGGCGGGGCACGTTTCCAGGCACTAATGTCTATGTAGGATCATCTTCTGTCCTCAAACGTAAGTTAGTGGAAGATTTTGCCCCGGCGGCACACTGTTTCCAACCCGTTTTAACTCCAGAAGCTTCCAATAATGTCACAGCTCGTGATGTGGTTGTGTGACGTCACAGCTTTGATATGCTGTCGATCGAAGATCGCGCCTTCAGTTCCTAAACGTTTTGAAAGAATTATCTATTTGTGAAAAACGATCTTAATCGGACTAAGTGATTTAATTCACATGTGATAACCGAGAACTCAAAGAATAATGTATGGACAAAACTATGATAAAGTTTTATTGTGAAATTATTTGTGTTTATCAGCTAAAGAACTTTTCAGAACTTATTGTAAATGCTGCTGTAATAAATATATTGTGAATTTTTTGTATGTAGACATAGGAAATTGTAAATTGTGAAACTATTATAAATGTATTTATGAAACACAGTAAGGTTAACACCAGAAAATTTAGCAGTGTAAATATGTTAAGCAAAAAATAATGAACCATAATTTTCTAAAAATGAAAATTAATTTATACTACCTACTTGTACATAAATGGCCGTAATGCAAAACATGAGATCACTTGTATGTTTGATTCCCAGATTATTTGTAACTGTACCACGGGATCTTGATAGAGTTCATGTTTTATAGTCTTATCAGTATAAATATTAACTAGAACCTATTTTTACAACTAGTCCATATTATCGTTTAGTTACATAGTTAATAGATATAATTAACTATTAATAATTTCGGTGAGTATTTTACTCATTCTAGTGAACTTTATGATGTCTTCTTCAGCAATAAATATAGGTATGTATGTATTTGTAAATATTCGAAGCATTTATTGTAAAAACAGAGAAATTATATTTTTCTTGACCGTCAATGGAAAAAATGTTTATATGAAAGGAAATGTTCATTTCGTGTTACGAATTTTAATATTCAAATTGTTTTATGCAGAACAAGTTCAACAACAATATTTTCTTCCTTGTAGCTACCCAATGCAATGTCATAATATAGTCATATTGTTTAAAGATGATGTTAGGCTTTAAACAGCGTACTTAAATAACTTAAGTTTGTCGTTTAATGATATATAACAAAACAATTTGTTCTGTGTCAAGAGGAAAACATCGTGGATTTTATTTCAAACCAAAATCCTTGTAGTGTAAGTTAAGAGGATTAAATTTATTTATTTTTGTGATTAATATTGTACCTTCACTCGATCTGTAAATAACATTACTTGCTATAAATGAAGCTGAACTTTAACGAGTATAAATAAATATGTCTGCCAAATTAAATCTGTATTTTCATTTTAAAATACATTTTAAAATAAAAAGGTGCATCGTAAACAGGTATTGTTAAATTCCAAACTTAGAGATTCCCTTTCGACAAGGATCTGAGATGCTTTATTGATTCGATCAAATGTTTTGATACAGTAAAAACAAATGATTCTATAATTCAGAAAATATAATCGATTCAATACGGAATGAAGCTTAACGAACCGTCGACACCTCAATGGAGAAGTTGGAGTTTTTATGTGCATTCACGCCACCCAATGTGATCAAAACATGTTCTAATGTTTTTATCTACTTATACCGTTTGAATAAAAATATTAGTCTAAGGAATCAGTATATTCTATATCAGAATTTTATGCTTCTAATTCTATACAATTTAATACTTAGTCATGAAATATAAAAGTTTTCATATTTTTGCATTGTTTATTTCTATTTCTGTAGGCAAATATTTGAAAAAAAAAAAGTATAAAAGCATTTGAGCAAAAAGAAATTTTAAATAAAAATCTACGAAACATGAATTTGACACATGAATAGACACGACTGAAAGCAATAATTCGAAGGAAAGCTTTTAAACAAATATTAACTCAGAGATTTAACATTAAAAGGATACCGTTGGCTGGCCCGTCATTTGGGCCTGTGTCGGATAAAACGCCACCATTGTCTAAGGATTAACGTCAACGAATTTGTTGTCAACAAACGCCTGATCAAACAAAAAGATTTGTGCGTCACGGTACCTAAAAAGACCCTTCGTTTCGATGATTGTTGTCAACCCGACCATATAAGCTTAAATACTTGGCCATTCCTTCAAATAATAAGAACAAACGATGATTTCGCCATTGAAGGTAAAAGCACCAGAAGAAAAATTAGAGATGACGGCGGAGACGATAAAAAAAACTCTGAAAGTAATCGTAAATTTAGTCCTATCTTTTTAAAAGCCAATTACTGAGTTTGGGTTTTATTAAATTGAGAAATCCATTAAGCTAATCGCTAAGTAGGGAGCCACCGACGTGACGATTATGAAAAGGTTATTCGAAATGCAAATGCAGAGGCATCTTAATGTAAATCACTTGTAAATGTAGAGCCAAGATTTTGAACTACATTCATGGATCGCCATAATTCACGTTTCTAGATAAGATTAGAGCTTTTTGTTTCAACTCCGTTAATCCGGATCGTATTTTGTAATCTACGAACGGCTACCATTGATTTTTGATTTGGTCCAATTCAACATCGTTAACCAAAAATCTGTTACGTTTACTTTAGAAATCTATGATTATGGGAACATACGGTCATTTATTTTAGTTACCCATTTTATTCTTGGCCCGCGGTTCTAGTATAAAGCATAGCCTCATAAATAACGAGGAAAATAGAAGGTGAACGCTTCCACGAGTATCCTTTTGGGAGCGACCAAAGCATTCTTTTAAGATTTATTACAGAAGTTGAGCACATTACTTATTCCTTATGTGCCTTCTGAACCGATAGTCCCTTGAATGTAGACATTTTTTCGTTTCCTTTTCGTTTGCTTTAATGAAATTATTAGTGATTTACCATGGCTGTGATCTTTCAGGTTAACTAGAGCTATTTTTTTTCGGTGCAGGCATTTTTTTTATTTATTTCTTTTTTTTTATTTCAATTTTGCCTAAAAACAGTTGTTTATTGACTTATTACGCCAAAAATACTAAACATAATAACGTGTATTTTCTTTAGAGTTTAGTGCCTATTTATTGAAATTCTTCTCCTTTGATATCGATTGACAATCAAAACCTACAGACTTGACGTATAATCTTAATATATAAAAATCTTGTGTCACACTGTTCTTTGACACTAATCTTCGAAATCGCTCAACCGGTTTTGATGAAACTTTGTAAATGTGTAGTTGCTCCAAATTAAGGGGTAAGATAGTTTTAATTCCATCAATTAAAAGTGGTAGATAGTGGTAAAGTGTAAAATAGCATTTGGCGGATCAGTTAGGAATGCTATTAAATATTTGAGTCAGTTCAAAGTCAGAACTTATTCTCTCAAGTCAATCTAAAGCTAGGTTTTTTTACATATTCATAATATTTAAAATTTTTAATTAATGTTGACATGAAAAAATCTAAAATACTACTAAATTTTACTATTACTATCATGAGGTAGTGAAAATTATGAAATCTTTATTATACAAATGTTTTATAATTGCTATTTGGATATAAATCCCAATAGCAATACCTACGCCAAATATTTTATAGCAAATTATTTACAAGTACGTATCACTTGCGGTGGCTACTTCGGACAGTACCAATACAGTAACTTGAATATCTGCAGGAATTGGTAAATAGGCTGTGAAATAGAATGCACTCGCTAACAGCGTGTACTAACATGCATATTTTGTCTCAAAGATATGCACATGAAATATGATATGAACTAATATATTTGTAATTTTAGACTAATAGGTATGTAAAATTATTTACAATACTTAATATAATAAATAAATACAATTTACTTAGTATAGCATTTTTACACCACCTGTTGTCAAATAAATTCTATAACTACATTACCTCATATTAATTGGGTTTAAAAACAAAAAAAAAATACAACTCCTATTAGAAAATAGTTTTTTAAACTTAACCAATAAACAAAAAGAAAAGTTTTTACATAAATAAAATCTAAAATAAACATAGGTTACTAAAATTGTCAAGGTCAGCAACGCGCGTTTAATATCCTTGGTGTTACAGGCGTCCATAGGTTACAATAACCCCGTTTACCATTAGATGGGCCGTATGCACATTTGCCATCAAAATCGTATACAAAAAAAAAAAACAATAAATTAAATAAAAAAAAAAAATAATAAAAAAAAAACAATAAATTAAATATTGTAGTAACAAACAATGTTTCTAGTATTTTAGACGTTTATAGCGTACAATAAATTCTTTCAAAAGGTGTGCTAAAAGTTTTTGTTTAAATTAAACAAAAAAGTAATTATTTAAAAGAAAAAACTATTTATTTATTTCTTAAAACCACTTCGCCACATTATATCTAATGCAATATACTAATTTATCGGTGAATGCAATAAAGCAATACGTGTATCTAAAGAAAATATATACCAACACAAATATATTAGGCCGTATCTAAATGGTAGATGCAAAGCTGTCCCAGTCAGTCTTTCTCGTTAACGATATATAAGACAAGAATCTTTACAATTGAAGATAACGTACTCTCTGGTTTATATCTGTGGCTGATAATGCTGATTCAGTATTAGAGAAATGGACTATAGTTTATTATAACGAATACAGATAATGTGATTTCCTTTCTAATACTGGCCGTGGACTCGATCGTTGAAATAAAATCAAGACATTTCGATTTTATGAACTCAATGGTGCAGTTTGAACGAATTGTGTTTGAGCTGTGTATTGAGTTATTAAAAAGTAGAAGAGGTGATAAAAAATTTGCACAGATGTTTTGTATAGTTGTTAGTTTTAACCCGCGACTTCGTCTGTGTAACCTTATGTTGATTAATCGGGAATACAAAGTGATTATTTAACTTTATTTTGCTAAAGTCCTCATCACTGATTTGTCGATTTATATCATTTTATTTAATACCGCTACCAATAGTATGTACGACTGCCAACATTTAAAATTTGACTACTATTATTGATGGTAGTTCTAAGATTTTATATATTAGTCTTTAACTTCCGACCGTTATTTTGTCCACGCGTAGGTTGCGACTCGTGTTTCACCTCTAAACGAGGCATCTTCAGGCAAATTAAAAGTGGGAGCGTAGTGTTCTAGTCGGTCTTAGTATTGTCCCTCGTTTAAAGTTGAAACATGTGTAGCAACATGTGTGTGGATAGAATAACGGTCGGTAGTACTCAATCTTTAAATGTTGGCAGTCGCACGCATATTATTGGTAACGGAGTTAAACAAAACAATTTTAAGTGTCTAACCAAAATAGAACATAATATAATATTTTGGCGTTCCATTGTTTCTGCCTACCCTAATGGGAGACAGGCGTGACAGATATGTATGTATGTATATACAATAAATCATAAGCGATAGTCTATGTTATCCATCACAAATACTACCTACGTGTGTATCTAATTTCATGGAGGTTGGATGAACAGTTAAGACGCCAGAAGGTAACAAACAAACAAATCTACTTTCAAACTTATAATACTAGTCTTCACCTGCAACTTCGTTCGCATGACAAGAATTACCACAGGGAGACTTTGTACAAAAGTCGTTTGCTTGAACACCTCTATCTAATTTGTGTTTCGACTGTAAAGCATGCCTTTGTTTGCATGTCTGTGTTTCGGTTTGAAGTATGGAATATGGCAGTGAATTTACAGAGTACAGAGGAATAACACCTGAGTCCTCAGGAATGGCACCGCGTGGGAGATATCATGGGCGAAACAATATACTCTGTTATGTCCATGGTACTGCTCATGTCTATAGGCGACGGTTACCACTTTCCATCAGGTGGGCCGTCAGCTTGTTTGCCATTCTAATTTGCATATATATATATTGCTTGATATCCATAAATATTAGCCTATGTCCTTCCCCATCAATAAATAGTAAATTTATGTATCTAGGCGATGTTTACCACTTTTCATCTTGTTTGTTATTACAAGTATCAAAATTTACATATTATTTTGTCTTCTATTGTTATTGTTTAAACACGATTTGAAATTGATATACTGTGACGTGAAGTTTTTGTGCGTCATGCGTTGTGTTTAGTATTGTACATATTAAGCTATCTGTTTCAAAAAACAGGAGCAGATTTTCAATTCGATTGTATTTTTTTTTATTTTATTTATATATTCATTATTTCAGAAATCCATCATTTACATACGGATTCTGTTTTGTATTTATTTATGTCAAGATATAATAAGAGCGTTGAGTTTATTTATTTATCTACACTAATATTATAAAGAGGAAAGATTTGTATTTTTGTGTGTATGTTTGTAATGAATAAACTCAAAAACTACATTGCCGATTTAAAAAATTCTTTCACCATTAGAAAGCTACAT